AATCTGTTAAGAGGATGTAAAAATGATACTAGCTTACCGATACAATTGCGTGGCCCAGCACTAAACGGTATATATGAATAAGGATGACGGTTTAGGATTTTCTCAGGCAAAAATCTATCCGGATCAAATACCTCTGGATTTGGCCAAAAATTAGGATCTCTGTGAACTCCGTAAATATTAAGATGTAAGATTGTTCCAGCAGGCACTAAATATGACTCTAAAAAGTAAATGAAAAAGAAGTATTTTATACATGATAATTTAAAGTTTAAAAATTAAATTATGATAATATTAATATATTATATTTATATTTATATTAATATATTATATTTATATTTATTAAAATATGATTATAGTTTTAAAATAAAATATCTATTTAATATAACATGGAATATGTACGTACAGTTCACGTAATATAAAGCACAATGTAATAATTAGTGAAATTTATTAAATAGTATTAATTTTTGAAAACATTTTACGACGTGTTACATGTATATACATATTTATATAATTATTTAATTAATTTTATGAATATTACATAAACAGATGTTATATATAAAAATAAAGCAATTTAAGAATTTTCTGAAATAAGAATATACTGTGTCTTGTTCATATTTAAGTTTTAATGACATATTCCACGTCATATTTAAAAATGCGTATAAAAGTTTGATTTTATGCATACGTAATTTTACATCTTCCCCAGGAATACGTGATATTAAATATACACTGGGATACAAACGCAATGCTTCCTTTATACATCTCTCTAAATATGGTAAATTTTGTAATAATTTCATAGTTAATTTCTCTCCATTTTCTTGCATAGCAGTGCTGATTTCATCCCTGACACGATCCTATATTATTGATATTAATTGAAAATGTGCTTCTCATTAGTTTATTTTTTTATATATACACAAATAAATTACGAACTTTTAAGAATATTAGAAATGTTTTTATATGTTTAGAGTATATACGTATATATATATACAGGGTGACCATTTTAATCCATCCAGTCGAATATCTCGAAAATCAAGCCCGGGAGAGAAAAATTTTTCAGACAAAAGTTGTTTGGTTTCGAAGGGGACATAAGATGATAACATTGGTTTGACCCCGAGTGGCGTCGTC